AGGAACAAGAAGCTAGTAGGGGCTCCTGGCCGTACTACTGGGAGCAAGGACGCTACTAGGGGCTCCTGGCCGTACTACTAGGAGCAAGGATGCTACTAGGAGTCTGAAGGAGCCCATCCAGGAACCTTCTTTTTGCCATGGGCGAAAACCGAATTCACGAGTGACTGGTCGGCCATTTTTGGCACAACTGCGAAGTGGGACAACCCACCCACTGGTGCGCCTCAAGCCGCGGTCTAGCACCGCCTTTGCAACAACAAAGATCCAAACGAATAAAAAGTAATTCCAACTAATACAACAACCAATACAAAATCCCAACTAGTACGTAGCACGAAGAGTTTAAAACGCTCACACCCAAATCCAAACCAATACAATTGGAATACATCAGATACAACTTCGCACTACATCTGTTGAGCTACCCTCCTTGGCAACTTCTGAGCTACGCGTGGTTGCCCAGGCTCTTGGAGCACAACGACGTCCTCGGGCGCCGAACCGAAACGCTCTGCTCCTTGTCTCGGGCGGAGGAGGACGGCCCGCCTGGCCGGCGGACGGCCCGGGTCAGAGGGATTGACCAAGCTTTGGAAAGCATCCTAGATGGGACGTGCAAATGTGATTAAAACAATACATGTATAGTAATCCGCCGACCCCACTCGTGGCGTCAGGCGTGACTGTTGATTAAGGCTAAGGCTATGATTAGGGCTAAGGCTATGATTCAGGCTATACCTCCCCTACCCCTCCGGAGCCTTGTTGGAGTGACGAAAAGTAGCCAAGAATTGTCCAAGATTTGTCCAGGATTTGTCCAAATGTATTGGTTTGCTTCTTACTGGGGATTGGGGCACCCTCTCCACCCGCGCGGGAAAATAAGCACGGTCCCTAAATGGTCCCGGGCTCGAATGGGCAATGTGATGAATGACCATGGGCCTAGAGATAGAACCTGTTTGTGACCTCTACTTTGGACCACCGAACACCCATTCATAATGATGGTCTTTTTTCTATCACAACAGTAAGCCATGGAGTAGAAGCATTTCTCCAAGGGCTTTGTGTATGTCAACCCTCTAGCCGCGCGGTTGTGGTCGGTTGTGGTCTTTGCGTTCGTCTTCGTGGAGAAACTCGCTGTCCCAGTGATGCTCCCTCTTTCACCGATATTCCCCGGGCCTTCCGAAGTTCGGCCTTCTCACCACCGATCTGCCGATGCTGGCACCCAGCTCAGTCACACCTTTCTTAGAAGTTGCGACTGGAGCGCCGGTAGTCGTTTTTGGGCGGCTGTCTCCTGCTTGGCTTCGAACATCCTCGGCCCGTCGCGGCACGATGCCTCCGCGACGCGGCAGGCCGGAAGTGGATGACATCGTTCAACTTGATCGGTTGGAGCGTTACAAAAAGCTAATATCCCGGCAAGAGACCCCGAACAGTGTGTGTGTGAGGTCTATAAGCAGAAAGTCTAGACACCTAGACGCATTGGGGTCCAGAGAGGTGATGGTAAACATGAGGGAGGGAGGGAGGGAGGGAGGGAGTGAGTGAGGGAGTGAGGTGATGGGTTAGTTTATGAATATACGGTATATGATTGATCTTGTCTTAGAGATGATTTGATCTTTTCAACTTGTGCATTGCTTTGACTTGCGCATTCATGTGCTTTGCAAGATGGTTCCTTGCCTCCCCTGGCAGCGTGAGATCGGCCCAGCTGGCTAGCACTGGAAATTCCTTGATGCCGCTCACTGGACATTCAGCCTGCGCAAAAGTAGTCTTCAGTGGACATTCAGCCTGCGCAAACTCAGTGCCCACGGCGGTCATCTTCACAGTATACTTGTTGGCCCGAACAGTTGCATCGTCATCGATGCCCCCAGTGAAGCGAAGCTTGGGCGCGTTCTTTTCCTTGGCCGTGTCCTTTTGGCCATGATAATCCTGATGGGTCAAAAATAGAGGGATAAACAAAATCAAGGATGGGAAACAAAAAAATGACAACAACTATGTAACAATGTATGACTTGTGGGTTTTTTCTGTGGAAAGGGTTCCAAATCATGCACCTAAAGACCGACTGAGGAAAAGTACCAAATCGAGTCTCAACTTCAAACATGAAAGCAAGCTCTCACACCATTGAACCCCATCCCTCAAACTGCTACAATACTTTGATAAAGAATGGAACCACGGAAACTCAGCACAAAGAATTAAACTCATAGAAAGCACCTGAAACACAGAAACGCATAGAAAGCGCTGCTTTGTTGCGGATCGACAACGCCTTGTTGGGTTCCATAGATCTCACGCCACAGAGGCGGGACATGCAAACCATCTCCGGCTTGGACATGGCGTTGATCCAAACACCATCACCACGACCTGCGCACAGTAATGGCATACGATGCATCATAAATATATAAAGATTGGCATACTGTAACGCTATCACCATGGTCATCATTGCGAATAGCTGAAAACCGCGATAGCTTAATGTCAAGTACATCCGGAATATGCGTTTCTTCAATCGCCAATCACCATACACAACAGTCGTGGGTAAACAATTGAGTCGTGAAAATGGCCTAGCACTTGTTCAGGCTGGGAGCCGATCCCAAATTTCCCGGTTGCCCAAATATCCAGCATGTATCTGTTCGATCGATCACGCTGACAGCTGGGGCCATGAATGTCAGTTGACATCGCCATGCCCGGACAAGAACGGTTTTGGCAACATACAAAATACTGAGATAATGACATTTCTGGTTCCAAATTGGAGGTTG